TATATATATATATGAAGCCTGCCGAGTGCCGAGGGTCTATCGAAAACAGTCTCTCTTCCTTCATCAGGTAGGGATAACTAGGTAAGGTCTGCGTACGCATTACCCTCCCCAGACCCCGCGTGTCGGATTGCAATGGGGTTTTTGTTGTTGTAGTTGTTGTATATATATGAAGCCTAACACAAGGAACTTCCAAATACTTTAGTCGCTAAGACACATTAGAAGTAAACTTAGCTCAACAATTGGATCAAGATTCCAAGAACATAATTCCTTCCTTTTATAAGCAATAGATCATGGAACTAATATTAACCCTACAATTTCCTTGTAAGCAGTAGATCCATAAGTGTACTTCTTTATTCAATTATCAAGAAAACAACTTCCACAATTACACTTCCAAAGACTAATTTTAGTAAAACAGATCAAAATCAGGCCATTTAATCAACACGCGTTGCAAAAAATTAGAACTTTGCAGCACAACTGCACTTATACTCTCTTGTCATAATGAATACCAACATAGTCTAAATATGTACATTTCTTAAGAAAAATTTAACTATATATAGTTCAAGAGCCGTGTTCAACCTATAGGTTCTTACATCCGAACCCATTACACTTTTGAAATTACAAGTTCGAAATTTAATATCTGTTGAAATTTTAGCAAATACGTATATATGCGTATTTATATTTATGCTGTGTCAAAAAGTTGGTTCTATTGAACTCATTGATTATATGCCTCAAATCCTCTACCTAAATAAATGTAGGAACTCAATGTGGTCCAACCTTTCACTGCACCCTGCACCTAGCAAGAGCTTAGTGCACCGGAATGTTTCTGATTGCTTTACCTAATATTAGTTTTGTATATCGTTTCGGTTGTCAGATTAGGTTGCTTGCTATTGCCCCTTCCCTTTATCCTTCCTGAGCCGAGGGTCTACCGGAAATAGTTTCTCGGCCTTCTTATAAGGTCGGGGGTAAGGTCTGCGTACACTCTACGCTCCACACACCCCACTTGTGTGATTACGCTGGGCATGTTGGTTGTTGTAAATATTTCAAGAGTATCTGCAAGCAAACGGCTACATCCACCACTAACTATAAACAGTAAAATGTTTAAGTCTTTACCTGAATTTTCAACGTCCATCTTAGGCATATGAGGCTTACTAACCAACCCAACTGGCCGGATTTTCCCCCGTTGTTTCTCCACCGAGAAATCAATCACCGGCGACGGCGCAGGCCCCGCCGTCGATATCGGCTTAGGTGACAGTGCCCCATCTGGTCCATACTTTCTTGGTCTACCCCTCTTCTTCTTCACTACCATTAGTGCTCCGCCGCCAGCTCCGCCACCGGCGACGGCGATGGCCGCCGTGGCAGTGGCCGGAGTTTGTGAAATAACCACCATTTGAGCTGCTGATTCAGTGGTGGTTCTAGGTGCCACGTGGTAATCTGAAGGTGCATCTGATCCCACCACTGTTGCTCCACTCAGACACATATTCTCTCTTCCCTCCATAACTCAAATATTTTCAACCAAGAAAATCACCCCAAAAGAATTTTTTTTCTTTTTTATTTCACCTTGTACTCAAAAACCCACCATTTTCCTATAATCCAAACACCAAAATAAAGATCACTTGAGAATCTTTTTTAACAAAATACTAATTAAAAATCAGAAAATCAAGAAAACTAGCAAAAAAAATATCATCATTTTCCTGTAGTTAAAACGCAAAAAAATCACTCCAAAAATCTTCAAAAAAATAAGAAAACTAACAAAACAACACTCAAGAATTAGAAAAATTTTGAGGGGTTGAACCTTTTACTCATAAAGCCATAGCTTTTATATATGCAGAATGCCGAAAAGCACTCAAGAATTAGAAAAATTATTTTCACTATGTACTCAAAACCCATCATTTTTCTATAGTTAAGACACCAAAATCACTCCAGAAACCTTCAAAAAAATAAAAAATAAAAACCAAAAAAACAACACAAAGTTTTCTTACCAGAAAGTTTTGAGGGGGTGGGGTAAAACAGACTAAAAAACCCAGAACCCAAATGAAAAAATAAAATAATAAAGAATGAAGCTTTAAGTAATTTTGATAATCTTACCAGCTGAACAGAAAATACAGACGGATTAACTGGCAAATAGCTGAAGCTAATGGGAAGAATCAGATTTTTTTAGGATTTTTAGCTATTTTCAAGAGATAAAGAGTGGGGATTAAAGGAAAAATATTGAATTTTTAGCTTAAAGAAATGATGAGAAAATGTGAAAAAATGGAGTTTTGTCTTTGTGGAGTTAAAAAGAAAAGAAAAAAGTTAATTTGGGTTTTTCCTAACTTTCCTCAGATTGTCTGAATCGTAATTGAAGGGAAATAATAATTATGACAGAAAAAGAAATTATTAATTAGGTCATTAATTAATAAATAATGGAAAGATGGAAAATTATGTATTGTGGTTAAGAAAATGGTTTGAAGTCCGGTGAAAAGAAAATTTTGAAAATAGAAAATTTTAAATTTATGAAATAATAGTATAAAAAAATTATGTCATCACATTACTTAAAAATTAATTGCAAATACTTTTGTTTAATTAATATTTATTGATTGATAACTAAGTAATAAATGATAAATAATCTAATATAATAAATTAAATTATACTGATTATTACTGACAATATATAATTTAATTTTAAAAAAGGGAGAAGTTGTAGTTGGGAAAAGTGAAATTAGGTTGCCAATGCATGAAGACAACCATCACTCTCTCCCCCTTTTTTTTAATATTTTTTTAAAATTTGAAAAGAAAAGAAAGAGAAAGAGGGGGAAAAATAAATAAAATATATACCCCTACATTTTTTATATTAATCCCTTCAATGGTTGCTTATTATTTAAGGCTTTTCTTGACAACAAATAGAGACAAAATGTACGAAATATGAATATAAAAAGGGAGAACCAAAATAAGAGAAAACATTTTTATTTTATTTTCTTGCTTTATTTATATAGGGTGGGATTTGACTTGTGAATTAAAAAGTAAAAGAAGAAAGATTCTAATAAGCCACAATTTTTGGAAATTTTAATTCAAACAAACTTTTTGAAAATATTTGTGCCAAAAAAAAAAAGATTTTTGGACTATTGTAACTCTTTTGAACATTTATGAGTGTTATGTAAGTGAAAAGAATAACCTTTTAAAAAAACTTTAATTTCGTAAAAAAATTGAGAAACATTTAATAATAACGCATGTTTATTTATTATTTTTTAAAATTTCAAAAAATGCAATTTATCTTTTATTTTATTATTTTTCTCTTTTAAATATATTTTATTCCAATTCTGGTAATTATATTCCTCCTTTTACTTCTTACATCACTAGTGTACTATTTTCAAAGTGCACGTTAATAGCCTTACCATATTTATAGCTTTCACTTTTATTGTTAGAAAAAAGTGACTGCCTGTAAACCATTTTCTTTACTTTTACTTTCTCCCTTTTTTGGTTAGGAGATTTATTTTTTATTTTTTTATTTTTTTATTTTTTTATTTTTTCCTTATAACTTTTTAAGTAGAGTAAGCTTTTAAATATTAGAGGAGAGAAAGCAATGAGAGTTGAGGAATTCAAAAAAAATTACATCTTTTATATGTAAGGAATCAAATAAAATTACAATTCCTTGGGTCGGGCGAAGATTGACTCTCGAGTACAATGGCAGAAGGGAACTTGACTGCAAAAGTCACCACTGAGTAAGGATGAAAGTCGGCCTTAGTAATCCGACAGTGCCAAGTAGAAGAGCCGAGCTGTCGTTCAACAATTTTCTTTCAAAGAATTTTTCGGTCATACATTACTTGACTCTAGACATTTATAGAGCTGAGTCTTATCTCATAGTTAAGAAGTAAATTTAATTGAATCAGCTTTTTGTATCAAAGTCAAACTAATGAAGGCAAGATAAGTATTTTTCTTAACAAGTTTAGCACAAAACCATAATCAAGGGCGAATACAATGTTTCAGTATCGGGTTTATGCGAATTCAATATTTTGATACGGTGTATATAATTTTATTTGAAAATTTATAAAAGTTTAATAAATATTATATTTGAACTCATAATTTTAAAAATACAATAAGTTTAATGATGAGAATTTTAAAGGTCGTATTCATCAAGTTAAAATCTCAGATGTTAATTGATATATTTTTTTACTTTTATTTTTAATTATTAAAATTAAATTATTGAATTTAATATAAATATCGAATGCAAATATGTATTTGTTTGTTAAAGCTAAGGCAATTCCATAAACAGGGTTTATGCTAAAAACCCTTTAATGGAATTGAATAAATTAAATCGCCGAATTAGTTAGTAGAAATCATATCATTTTCAAATTAAAGCAAAAGGCACAATATGTGGTCATCATGATTACTTGAAAATATTAAACTAAGATAATACTAATTAATTTCACAATATTTGATGTTAATCTAATATAGAAACTAAATTCATAAGGTTGATAATTGATGCTCCCTATTTATTATAAAGAAGAAAATTGGCCTTGTGTGGGACCACTGAAGTTGACCAACAATAAAGCAAGTACTAGGGGAAAAATAAATGCTTATGCATTGTATAAATATGTAAAGAGCTTTCCGATAATACTAACAATTATTCTTCGAAAATGACTAAAAAATTATGTAAATGGTGATGAGTGATAGGTAGGGGTAACGTCAGCGTACTGCATACCCTCTCTATATCCCATCTGTTGGGATCATATTGGGTTTGTTGTTGTTGTTATATATGATGACGAGTGGATTACGATTATATAAGCTAAATCTGAATCTTCTTCCTCCTTTTATTCCAAAAAAATTATTTTAGTACATTTACGGGTATTGTGGACTGCTCTCTTCGTCATATTTTAACGGTCCTTTTAGCTCTTTTTACATCTATTAAGAAAAATAATAAATACAAGGTATAGTTTAATGAGTTAACCCTATTAAATGCTTTTTAAAAATTGAGTAGTATTAAAAAAATTAGTGTTTCTTTAATATCAAGATATAGTTGAAAATACTTAATAAATTTAGAATAATTAACTAATTTAGTCTTAATTTCCTATGAAAAAATGGGGTGAGGTGATTAGGCAGGACATGGCACTGCTCCAGCTTACCGAGGATATGAAACGTGTGAAGATCGAAAAATTAGGATGGTGGGTTGATAGACAGTCTAGAGTTTTGCCTTGTCTTACTAGTAGTAGTAGTAGTAGTAGTACTAGTCGGGTACCTTCCTATTCCTAGTCCCTTGTTTCTACGCGGTATGTCAGTATTAGCAGTAGGATTGACACTATTCTTGTAGTTTCATATACCTAGATCTCTGTCATTATTCATTGTATTATTTGCTTACATTGTCTTATTATTGTTGTTGCTATTGCTCCATTTTTAATGTTCTTGAGTCGAGGGTGTTCCGAAAACAACCTCTCTACCTTCATAGGTAGGGGTAAGGTCTGCATACTCACTATCCTCCCTACACCCCACTTGTGGGATTATACTGGGTTGTTGTTGTTGAGTCCTAAATTCTAAAGAGTTAACTATTTCAGGATAATTTTTTTGATCTAAAGCGACAGTTAAAATAGGACTGAGTGAGTTTATTTTATTATTAGTCCTTATAATTTTTTGGGCAATTGAACATGACTTAAAGCTTTTACAAATTCCAATATCATGGGTGCAAGTGGAAGAGATTAAAAAAATAATTTAAAAACATATAAAAATTTTAAGTGTCCTGATAACACTTTGATGACCTGCTACTTTTCAAGAAAAAATATTTAGGTCCTTAATTATTACTTTGATTACCACTTGGCAATTTGGCATCCTTATGTTTCCACCAGAATTATTAAATTAAACTGCTATATACCATCAATATAACTAACTACCTTAAATAAAACCTCCATAAGTGACAACATTAATGGATAGAGTCCTCGAGCTCGGACACCCTCGAGCTAGTTATGTAAGAATAGTTAAAAGCAGAATAAGCTGATGAATAAGAAAGTAAGCTGAGAAATATTATATTGCTTTTATATACGTGAATGTAAGGTGTTTACAAGATGATTAGGGCCTTCTTTATATAGTAGAGGAGTCCCAGTTATGGTACAATTCTATTTACGGAAGTAAATCCCATGATTAACTAGATAACCGCCCTTGATTTGATCTGTTTCAAGATTTACGCCATGATCTCCGGCCAATAACGTATATCTCGCTTTCCCGTTACTGCGCTTTGCTCGAAGTCTGTCATATTAGGTCTCAATCACTGCTGGCCTCGATCTCAACAGGCATCTCGATCTTCGAGTTGGCTACATGTCTTCGTGCTCTGGTCTGATTCATAACGAGGCTGACCCTCGATCCAATTTTGTGCTCTCGATTAAATAGAAAAATTGGATAGGCCGGATTTTAATCGTATACAGATAGCCCCCTCGTTCTCGGAGTGTAATGAGAAGAAATGAATTGAGCCTACGATTTTGTACCTCGATCCATCATGACGTCAACCTTGTGATGTAAGCGACGCAAGCGACCGAAACGTCCTGTCGGTTCAGTTCCCCAAACCATTAATGAGTATCAGTTGGCGGTCGGCCACTAGTGCCTTTGAACCGTCGCCGTGAATCTTTAAATAGGTCTTCTTCTCACTTCCTCAAACTTTACTTTGGATTTCTCTAATACCAATCTTCAAAATTTCTTCGCGTTCTTCAGGTTTATCTGCAAATCTTCAAAGTTTTCCTCACTATCTAAGACTTCCTATTCTACTCCATTACCAAACCTTCACCAAATCTTACCCTCTTCTCTTTTCTTTACACAAAAATGGCGAAAACGTCAAAAATTGTTCCTCAAAAAGAGAAGGCTTCTTCGTCGCGGCCGGCCGACGATAAAACGCCAGTTGATTCGCACTCTTAGGAGTGTGTTCCCGGGGGGGGGGGGTGGGGGGGGAGTGATCTTANGGGGGGGGGGGGGGGGGGGGGGGGGGGGGGGGGGGGGGGGGGGGGGGGGGGGGGGGGGGGGGGGGGGGGGGGGGGGGGGGGGGGGGGGGGGGGGGGGGGGGGGGGGGGGGGGGAGGTGATCTTACTTCCTACTTCAAAGTCGAGAAGACTTCCTATGTCCCTGGTCGGTGCGAACCCATGTCGAGATACATATGCTCGATAACCGAGAGCGACCTCAAGCAGGCTAAGAAAGACTGCAACTGGCTAAGAAAGAGGTAGTGATCTTGACCCCTGAGGAGGATATTACTACTCATGTGGATGGGTTTCTAAGTGTTTACACTCACCCTTTCACGCTGGGTCCTGTCGACCCTGTCGTCCTCGACTTCTATTGCTAGTACCAAATAACCCTCGGCTAGATCCATCCTTCCTTCTGGCGAATCGTCATATTTTTCT